CTCAAGGATTGCCTCCGGCTATACCTAAAACCGAAGGCTCAAATACTACAAAACATGACAGGCTCAGCCAACAACAGCTTAAACCGTCCCCGAAGGGTACTATATGACAAAGCTATCGGATGTGGCCAAACCAAATCAAAAATCACCTCCGGCACCTCACTACATACCGAGGGGATATAACAAACAACCGAAGGCTTTTATTACCATAGGCCAGCATTGCAAGGCAAAGGGAACTATCCTAAACCTATAACGTATACAGCCGAAGGGTCCCCCCGAAGGCCAGCAACAGGAAATTCTTATAAAAAAATCTAAGTCCTAAATGTTTTGCCCCTTGTGGAGCCGCCAGTCAACCGAAGGCATATCTGAGACAAGGCCCTCACAGTCACCCGAGGGCTCCTACTTCACACATACTACACTTAGAAAAATTTTCTAAGTCCTACATATTTTGACCCTCGGTCAAATCTCCATGCTGCCCGAGGGCTCCTACTTCATACATGCTACACTCAGAAAAATTTCTAAGTCCCAAAAGTTTTTACCCTCGGTCAAACCTCCATACAGCCCGAGGGCCATACGGATGAGGACTTGGCAAAAGTATACTTAGAAAAATATTCTAAGTGTAGAAAGGCTACATAGAACCAGAGGGAAGGAACCGGCCGGGGGCCAACAGATGAACAAACGCTTAGAAATATTTCTAAGTCCTGAACATTGTGCCCTCAGTGAAAGGTTCAACTGACTAAATATGCTTAGTGGCCGAGGGCTACGAGAAGCACTACACTTGGAAGAATATATTCTAAGTCAAAACATACATTCAGAAAAGTGAAGGCATACATTCAAAGAAGGGCGAAGGCATACATTCAAAAGAAAACGAGGGCATACATTCGAGAAGAAACGAATTAAAGAGGACAAGTCATATACACAAAGCCCGAAGGCAAGCATTCATTCGTCAAAGAGAGGAAATTCAAATGTATGTATTACAATGTGGCCGAGGCCGAGAGTACACAAATATTACAAACAAGAAGGAAAAGTGTTCAAAAAGCTATTAACTACAAGTGTTTTCTTCAGCTGTTGCCTCCTCGGCGGGCTTCGAGGTGATCTCCTCCCCGATGGCGTCCTCGGCATCACCATCGCCGGATCCCCCCATCATCATGGAGTCATGGATCACATGCCTCTCTTCGCCCAGGGGGAGGGGGTTTCTCACGTCTGGCTGCAGAGGAGGAAGGCCATACGCCGAGGGGTCGAATTCCTCGAGGGAGACTTGGAAGTGCCTGGCTAGCCTCCGGTACACAAGGTGCTGGGGTTTTATGAATGTCATTCCAAAAAACGGGACTGTGCTCCCTTGGATGAATTTGGGGTATTCGGAAGCCCCAATTCCGAATTGGATGTGGGGTGGTGGCTGGGTAGGGAGGAGGAGAGGGAGAGATAGGGGCTAAGGTTAATTTAAAATCTCATTTTTCTATTAAGTGATTTAATTTTTTTATTTGTACTTCAATTTTTACAAAAATTATATCAAAATTCATAACTTTTTATTATCTTTCTAACAACACTAATATTTCACATATAATTTTTTTTAAAAAAAATTAAAATTTCAATAGTACGAGGTTTTTCAGATTCAATATTTTTCTTAGATAGATCCGAATGATAAAATTAAAACATTTTTTAAAATAATTGAAACATGTAAAAAAGTTATGTGAACAAAGAGATTTTAATTTCAGCACTTGAATCTAATCCTTCCGGTTCTGAAAGATCTTTACACTTTTCTTTTTTGGCATTCCCAAAATTATCTTTACACTTCTTATTTGTCTTACAAATCTACACCAAACAGTGCCAAACAGTGTCAAACTCCTTAATATTTGTGAAGTCAAAGTGTAAAAATCTTTCAGAACTGGAGAGAGTATTTAAGGAAAAAATTGGGTCTGAAAACTTTCTACTGTTAAAACTTCAAAAAAAACTTTATATATGGAATATTGGTGTCATTAGAAAGGTAATAAAAAGTTGTGAATTTTGATATATTTTTTATAAAATTTGGAGTAAGAATTAAAAAGTTATATCTATTAATAAATAAATGGGACTTTAGATTAGCCAACCCCCAACCCCCTCCCACCGAACCTACCCCTCCCACCCAACCTAATAATTCTAATCGGAAGTCTCATTTCCGAATCCCTCTTTTTTAGAAAAACTTTGCTCACTCCCGTATTTTTGCATTCCATGTTGGGTTTTCCCGTCTAATTCTCAGAAATCACCCTCGCAAATGTCTCCTCCTGTCGAATCATGCTACAGACCTGACGTCTATTGCGATCCTTGGAAGTCTTAGTGGAGAAGAACAACTTGTCATTTACTGTTGAGGATCTTGGCTTTACTTATGACCTTCATACACTGACGGTTAAGGCTGGAATGGAGCCCGTAATCCTTGGCATCGACAATGCAAATGACTGGGGTTGGCTGGCCAAATTCTTTTTTGTAGAGAAATCATCGCTGGGTGAGCTCAGGAGTTCATTACCAGATCGTTTGAGAGTTGCAGGTACATCTTATGTATCTGTTTTGTGTGTTTTTTTTTAAGTGGATATGTATGTGTTCTTGATACAAAAGCTCATATGTCGTCCCCTTTGTGTTCTTCCACATCTAAGTGATACGCAGACGATCCCCCTTGAGTTCGGCAAGCGGAAGAAATGACAGCCACGCTCCTAGCCCTAGATCATGAAACCCATCTATATTCGTCTCTCAAACCGGAATTTCGATGTATGAACGCTAATTCTCCATCTTTCACTCCTTTTCGTGTTAGTTTGAGGCGTTGTGCTCGGAGCATGTCTAAGTCCCCCGATTTGTCTCAAGACATGTCAGCTGTTTCAGTCGAGAGTTCATAAAAAGAAGAGGATGATACCACAAGTGTTACCGGGGATGCTTAGGGGCGGATCTACTCACACAAGAGATGGCAGCTGCCCCTAAGATCTCGCTAACCCCTTGTAAATTTTTAATGAAAATTAAAAGCCTAAGTAATTGCCCTCAACAAAAAAATGAATTGCCTCCAATAAAAAAATGAATTGCTCCCAATAAAAATTTGGAGTGTTGCCGTATTTGTTGGTTTGTTGCCTTTGATAGTTTAGTTCTATCTATTTAGTATAGTTGTTTAATCCTCCTTATATATTCATGAAGAAATTCCACTTATGGTCCTTCGAGTTTTGCACCAATTCCACAATTCGTCCTCGTCTTTTATTTTATCCATTGTTGGTACCTGACTACTGTTTTCTTGACCATATATGGTCCTTTTTCGATAGTAAAAATGCTCAGAAATGGACCACAAATGGTCAAGAAAACAATAGTCAGGTACCAAAAATAGATAAAGTGAAAGATGAGGACTAAATATGGAAATGACACAAAACTCGGAGGACTTAAAGTGGAATTAATTCTATATTCATTGTATTGTTTACTTTCCATATTTGTTAATTCTATTGTATTAATTGAATCATTAATTATATTGTATAGTATAATCTCTAGTTTTATATAAATATTAAATGGTATTACTAAACCAATATTAATGTTATAAATTTATTATAAAGTTATTCATTTACATGAATTAGATTTAATATTTTAGAAAGATCAGTTAGATTTAATTTAATTGATTTTTTTCAGAAATAGTTATACACCTATTAATGTAATGTTTTACAGTATTACAAATTACAAATTAGAAAATCGTATTTAATACGTTAGAAACGCTAAATATAAATAATATGTTACTTTAGGTAGTTAAATAAAATGTATTAATGTGTTAAAAAAATTTAATTGTGATGTATTTTGTTAAAACTTTTATTGAAGGAGATGTTTGAAATTAGAGGTGGGCACGGTCCGAAACGGTTCGAGAAATTAGTAAAACCCGTTATGTTTCTGTGAGGTTTCTAACGGTCCGGTACGGTCGAGTTCTAAGGATGGAACCATTCGGTACCATATCGTTTCAGAACTGTAAAAAATAGTACGGTACATACTTGGGTTATAAAATTATTGGTCTATAAATTACATTTACTGGTATGAAAAAATATAAAAAAATAAATGCATTATTTTTGAACGGTCTGGTCTGGTATTTTTCGATTCCAAAAATCTAGAATTAGTCATGTACATGTTCTAAATGGTACGGTTTCGATCCCGGATGCTACTGCTCAGCCTGCTCTAGATGATTGTGGCTCTGTGCCTCGGAGTTCAGCTACTGCCACTCTCCTGGTCTCCAATACAGAGGTATTAGTCTTGTTGATTTACTAACTATTTTGATTGGTTCCATCTCTTTTTTTTTCCTGTGATGCGAGAACGTCTGCCTAAGCGTAAGCATGATGACGCCGATGGTTCAGATCATCATGAGGGGAAGAAAAGGCCGCATACTTGTGAGCAAACATCCCTAGCCTTAATTCCTGATCCATCTTCAAACTTTGAACCTTCACCATCCTCGCAACCTCCACCATCTTCTTCTGAAGCCCCATCTCAATCCCTAGCTTTAATCGTTTTCCAACTTATCACATTTCCTTCAACCCCGTCCTTACCCTCACCCGCTGTGCAAGGACTCTATGTTCTCACAAGAACTTCCATAGACTCATCTACTATAGATGTTGTCCAAGGAGTGGAGGGAAATCATTACAATGCAACATTTTCATCACCATTGTCTTCCGGCCATCACAACGAGCTAGTAGGACTGTCTTTAGCTTTTTAAAGGCCCAGGACAGGAAGGTTTAACATTTAGAAATCATCTTCAAACAATGTTTTATTTATCCATCATATAGCAACACTACATATCCTACTCTATACAAAACGAAGTGGAAAAGAAAACAAGTTTCCCGCCCAAAGTTAGGGTCAAATAGGGTCGGGTCGGGTCATTTGACCAAATTGAACAGTTTGGCTGCAAGGCTGGCCCAAGCAAATTTAATATTCATTGGGTAGCGCGCTAAAGTGTATGTTGCGTGTGGGAAGCTCATACTCCATATAACCAACCGTTAAAAAACTGTTGCACATATGGTAACTAGAAAGGCGCCAGTCTCTTTTTCATTTGCCAATACGAGGAGTATATCAGTCTCTCTTTCCCTTGCTGATTGTTGTATATTTGAATCCAAATGTTCTGAACAGATGTTTCGTATTTGGCCTTCCATCCATTGGAATCGGACAAGAGGCTTCCAGTTGAGGGCATCATTAGAGCTGGGTTGTGGTTCTCTGTTTTAGTAGGTAGATCGTCGACGGTGTTGGCTGCCCTTTCAGCGGCCGGAGATTCATGATCAAAGTTCAGGGAAGCGAGCTATTTTTAAGTCACTGAAGATATGGTCACCGGAATCTGGTGGTTTCACGACCACCGGTTCGTGCTTCAGTTGATTTCCGTTTAGTCCGCACTCTACTTTCCCTTTTCATTCAAAACCATGGTGAAAACTATCCGGTGGGTGCAACATCGTCATCTTCAAACGGACGCCAGAATGGTTGCGGAGTGCTGAGGAGCTAGAGGACATGTGGATAGGGTCGCGTGTCAAATGCTCCTTAGATCCTCAGAATGTCTAGGTTCATGTTCGTTTTCATTGCTGCTTCAGAGAACTTACAGATGGTTCAGTTTACATGATTGATGGTGTTCTTCGTGGAACCAACGAGTGAGGAGTTCCCGGAGCAGGCCTCTCATGCGGCCATCAAGCTTTACGTCTGGAGTTTGCAGCCACCAGCAGAGTAGTTCTGAAAACCAGGTAATTTACTCCGGTTTGTTTTCTCTGGTTCGTCAACCTGGATGGTGTGGTGGACGCCTCTGTTTAAGGAAGAACTTTCTTTCTCTGTTAGTTTGTTCTTGGTATTTTTTGGGGTTTGGCACCTCATCTCCACTCGAATTTGGATTCCGATGACTGGTGGGATGTCTATATTTGGGCTACTGCCAATCTGCTGCTCAGCTGCCTTCTCATCTTTGCTGCCAGGGGTCACCGGAGCTAAACAGGGGTGTAGGGTGGTGAGGGGGTTATGGATAGACATGTTTTATTTTCGGATGGGGTTTATTTCTCTGCCGCGGTGAACGCCGGGATGGATACCGGAGAGCTTATTTTGGATTTGAACGTTGCACGGACTGGGCAATCGTCGGTAACTCGCTGAGGGTTGTCGGGTTGCGTTGAAAGTTCGCTGACTGGTGACAAGCTGGCGGGCCTGGTCACCCACGTGCTTCGTACATAGACTCAATGACAGCTTAGGATTGGTGCGCCGCTGCTGAAGGGATGGTGGATGACATGCCAAAATGTGTAGTGTGAAATGATGTAAAAATGTGAATGGAAATGATGTTTTAATTGGCTTGTAACGATATACTATAGAGTAAGTGAGTATCGTTCCGCTAGAGAATGGCTCAAAAAGAGAATTAGAATTAACGATTGATTTTTAGCTAATCACAAATTAATAACATTTTACAATGGAGCTAAGTGAACAGATTTTTTTTTATCTCGTTTTTGTCAATGCAGAATTGCTACAGTAAAATAAATCACAATACTTGGTAATTTAACAATTAATGATATAGAGAAAATTAGGCTTGGGCTAAGAGTAATTTTATTTTGATGTTCATAATAATAATAAAGATTTAACTAATTAACTTAGTTACTTTTAGGTGTGTGAAAGATTTACAAATGGTAATCTTCTAATCGTTCTCACGACTTAGTTAATTACACTATCTCAAATTAATTCTGCTCCCGCGGTAATTTTATGAAGACAGTAAAAAGTACAAAATCAAATTATCCTAAATTCCTTAACACTTCCGTGTAGCAATTTAGTGGGTGAATTAACAAAATGGATTTTAATGAAATTTCACTCCCGTGATAATATTCATTTCCCAATATAATGTACTTCGTATTTAGCAGATTAGAATATTCAACTCAACACTCCTAAAATTAACCAAGTAATAGTTTTAACCAATTATTATCGTATGAACATTAACAGTAAAAATTACATCTTGCCCAAACCTAAACTAATTTAGTTACACATAATTACAGTAAACGAAATTGAAATCCTTAAGCTGAGAATGATTCTGGCTGATACTTCCCAAATGAACTTGATTGTTGAAATTAAAGAACTAAAATTCTGGAAATGGAAATTACGAACTGAAATTTACAGAAAGTGTTCTTGACAGAATCACTTTTATTATATGAATACTACTATGAACAAAACTAAAGAAAAGAGGAAGAAGATTTCTCTTCGAATTGGTGTGTCTTCGTAGCTCCCAAAATGGCTCTTTATATAGCAGTGGAAGAAGGGGCTAGAGCATCAAAAATCCTGAAATGAAGGTGCTGAAATCAATTTTTTGTTGGCTTTTACTTCAATCTTCCATCTGATTTGATCGACGCTATCAATTTCCTTCTGCATATAGTACCTCTCCTGTTCAGTGTGTATTTTCTTCTTCCTTGCTATCTTGCTCTCTCTGGTTGCCGACTGAAGGTGATGAAGACCACCCTGATTTAATTGCTTTGCTTGTAGTTTGTAGGTCCCACCGATCAATGAAATCAATTTGGATTACTTGCTTCTTTCCTTCTTGGGAGTTTTACGTGGCTAAAGTCTCCAATCACTCGGCTCTTATCCGCCACTTACATTATTTGGGCCGGTTAAGTGTTTGATCATTTAACTGGTCAACGGTTAACCGGTACATTTTATTACAGACAGTCTCGCTTATTCTGAAATGTATTTCGGGTCTCTTGATAAATAATTCGAAGTTAAAGTAAGGACCTGCTTCACTTTGATGATTTTTCCGTCTTCACTCGGGAGTAATATTTATTTCTTTTCAGAGATTAATATATGTCCCGAGTTATCCTGAAACTAAAAAATATACCAAAACAAGTGCAATACCATAAAATGTTCAAGATGATAAAAATCAATCCTTTTTATTAAAAAATGTAAAATAAAACATTAAAAGTGTGACAAAACAATATCGTAAATATGGTAAATTAGGAGTACATCAGTGGAATGTGGCCTGACCAATACTACGCTGATGGAGTGGGATGCTAGGTTGGGTTGTTTGCTTTGTACGCTCGTGGTAGTCGAGGGTAATGTTTGATGAGGTCTATGGATTGCAGTGCATTGAGCTCCTAGGATGATCTTTAATATTATGTGCTTTTCAAAATACTTAGGGAAATCTTAAAATTTTGACCACGATTTTTGATAAGTATAATATTATCCACTGTTCTTTAATTCTTGCAACAGTTTGACTTTTACGTTTTCCAAAGCACAACTTTGACTGCAATTATATTTAATTATATATTAGTAAACATTATAAAAAGTGGATATTTTGGAAATTCACATTGATGGGATTATAAGAATTCAATAACATTTTATAAGTAATAATTTGATTATTTATATTAGTAGAAAATCGTGGTCAAAGTAAGGTTTGTAAATAGTGCAAAAATCACAATGTTGCAAGCGTTAAAGAATGGAAGAAGTATTATAAAAGTTATAAATTTTATACTTTTATGAAACTACTTTTAGCAAATAACATTTTCATATCATTTTTATATTAAATGCACATATAATACTAAAACGAATCTTGATTACACAATATTCATTTAATGGATTCTTGGTCTTGGAGTTCTATTTTTTCGTAAACTGAGTTTGCAATCTTACAATCATGTTTAAGTCTTATTATCTGTTGGATATAAGGATAAAGGATTCATCACTTTTGGAATCCCAACCCGGACTTCTATAAGGATTATTTCTCACTGCACGAGCACAATGACTCAGCACAACAACGGCCGTGCCAACCTATTTTAAGGGAGGACAATCGCACGAAATGTGTTTCTATATGTGTGTACGTGTATATAATAATGTTAAGTATAATAATTTCACATCTTTGTAGTGTTTTGGATTTTTAGTATAAGAACATACGGAGTAATAGGTAATTTTTGTATAATCCACTTATACTCCATATCATTTAACTCTCAAGTAAAGTTAATTCTATAGAATATGGTGTTTACAACGGGACTTTTAACAGTGTATGATCATTGTGTTTGGTGGGCTAATATAAAATAGAAGAAGAGCATAGTGTAACTACTAAAAACTTGAAAAAAAAAATCAAAAATTGGAATGATTTGAGCCAAAGGAGGATTTAGAGACTACATTGAACAAATTTTAAATTGGCCCTATATTAATAACTATGGAAAGAACTATGATTTTCCAAGACTTATTAGCGGGCCTAAAGAAAACGATTCTTAACCTCAAGAATAGTCTTATTAATGTAACCACCTTATAAATAGATGTAAAATATAAAAATAATTTCAGAAGTGCAAAAATATTGACTTTGATATTCAAAAAATAAATTCATAATTTTTATCTATATTTCTTCAAATGTTAACAATTTTTTTGAGTTTTTTATAGGGAGAATTTGAGTTTGCACCCCATGTTTTGGGTGATATTTGACTTTGCACCCCATTTTTAATATCATTAATGTATACACCCCATTATCCCAAAAATTGTGAAGGAGTTGGGTGCAAAGTCAAATGATTTTATAGTGAATTGGGGTGCACACATTAATGATTTTGAAAATAGGGTGCAAAGTTAAATATCACCCAAAACATGGGGTGCAAAGTCGAATTCTTCCTTTTTATATATAGAAACCCTACTATTACAAGCCAAAAACTTGATCAACTTCTAAAAATAAGTGTAGTTATATGATACTTTGTTAATAAAGAGGCTTAAATGATGAATTGGAAATAGCAAAAATGTTTATTTGACTTTTTTCCGATAGCAAATGCAACATATATGCTGAATATTGGTTGGGTTGGGTTGCGCTTTACATATGGGTGGTAGAAAAAGTAGTTTTGATCGTCTGAAATGATCTTCTCACAACTAATAAGTTTTTTATTTTAGTTAATAAATAGATTTTTTTGGCAGCTCAAAATAATTTTATAAGTATCAGTGTGATCAAAATGAGTACTCCTTGTTCCGAAAGATATTCTCACTTTCTTCTTTCGGTAGGTTCAAATTAAAGTTTTCATTTTTAGTTTTAACAAATTTTTATTAAAAATCACCTTATATCCTAACTTCATTTACCTACCTTATAAGGACACTTTTTCTTTGCTCTCACTACGCATAATCTACTTTTTGTAAGGATACAATGGGCAAATCAAAACTAAAAATTCAACTTTCTTAAAAATCCTAAATTCAAACTAAAACCTTCTTTCAAAACCTCATGGAATATATAAATCACCTTCTTCCCAGACATTGTATGCACTAGCTTTGATTTTATATCTTAATTATATCTTTTTTATATTACATATAATTCTCTTTTAATAAATTTATACATTCTATTTATAAAGAAAATCATTGACTAACATGATTAACAAATAATATAATACTCAATCCGTCTGGGAAAAATTCGCCAATTTGACTTTTCTTAGTCAACGCTAGCGAACTTTGGACAATTATTTTAATTATTATATTTTTATATAATTTGTAAATTTTATACTTTTACGAAAATATTTTTAATAAGGAACATTTTAATATAATTTTTATATTCAAAACAATTTCATGTTAAAAAATATCATCAGCTAACATTTCCGAGACGGAGGGAGTATAATTTTTACCGCAGTTCATATCCTGCAACCGGCGCACCATGAGGATGGTGTGCCCGGTTGCAAAACGACGCAGCTTCAGTGGGATTCCATTATTTTTTATTTCTTTTATTGTTAAAAATTGTAATAACTTTTTTATTTGATATCAGATTTTTATAAATTTTATATCAAATTTTTTTATTTTTCATGATCTATCAAATGAGACCAATATTGCTTATGTAATTTTAACATATTATTTTGAAGTTACATTTGATAATATATCATGAAGTTACATCTTCTTCTGCGCGAGTTACATCTTATTGTACGCGAGTTACATCTTAATATACGCGAGTTACATCTTAATGTATGTGAGTTACACCACGAAATAAACCCCTGCTACATCTTTCATTTTTATCATTTGAAAAATAGTGTATGAATATGAAATACAATATACTTATTTCATGTGGATTAATAAAATTTTGTATTAAATTGGCAAAGAAAAAAATTAATTGAGTTATAATTGAATTAGTTCACAAGATAAAGATAAGTAAAAAATCACAAATAATTAGACATAACTCACACATAATTACATGTAACTCGCGCATAAAAGTATGTAACTCGTGTATAACAAGATGTAACTCACACATAATTACATTTAACTCGCGCATAAAAGTATGTAACTCGTGTACAACAAGATGTAACTCACACATAACAAGATGTAACTCACACATAATAACTTGTAACTGGAGTATAAGATGATGTAACTTCGTATATTATCAAATGTAACTCCAAGCTAGAAGCAAAATAAACAAACTCAATATCTTAAAAACATCTAAAAACATATAAAAGTGATAAAAAAATATATTATAGAAAAAGTGTATGCATATAAAAATATATTACAAAAAAATGTATGAATGTAAAAAATTAAAATTACATATGCAATATTGG